ATATATACTGAACTGCATTAAATATGTCTATAATAATAAACAAAAATATTTAACACATAGCCAACTCCATAATCATGAAACACGGCGTAACCAGGACTTTATTCCTGAATATCACAGACTGCATAGAACCAGAAAAGGAACTGACTACTACGGTATACATTTCTTTAATTGTTTGCAGTGACCAGAAGACTCCTTGAGGAGAGATTATTTTTTAAAACAATCAAGATTATTTGGTGAAGAAAGCCTTTTATTCAATTCAGGAATTCTTGGATAATAACTTCGATGACCTAATATGATTGTTCGAATTGTATTAAACTCAATGGAGAAAACAAAATTATTTGACTCATTTAATTTTTTAAACTGTAATTTTATAATTGTATGTATTCTTGTAAATTGTATTCTTGACTTGTAAAAGCACGATGTGTATTATTACCAATAAAATTTATTGATTGATACCTGGTAGTAGTATCTAACTACTATCGGTTAATGTTACTCAACTCTACCTGTTATGGTTTCTCCTTTTTTTTTTTTATGAAGTGTTAAAAAACCAGGTAGTTTAACATGGGAACAATAACAAGTAGAGTTAGATAATATGAGAAGAAGGGGAAGATTATTCTTCCTCTTGAAGATCACTTGGTGATCGAAACACGTGTTGAGGTGTTGGAAAAAAACTCCAGTAATATTCATTAAGATAGTAGTAAGATTCAGTAATTGACCGTAATGACCGTAAATTTTTTCTGTTGTTGGGAAATGTTTTCAATAAATCAACAACGTAGTTAATACAATCGGAACGACGAAAACAACTCGGTCTACCGCAGTAGTAGACGAAACGTCAGACATGAAAACCATGGCAAAAGAAGAGGAAAACAGCTTTCGCACAATAACTAGTTTTTCCCGTAAGAGCACTCATTTGTCGAAAGGGTGTAAGGGAGTGTAAAGACTAAAGATGTGATTCATAAAGCAGTGTCACGCCTCACTATCCACTTTATTCAGTTCAATAATCATCCAATAATATAAAATAAAAAATCAACAAATTTAAAACATTTATGTATACAGTACATAAGTCTTTTATGTACATAGTTTCGGAAAACAAAAATTATTAAATACAATAAACTGTTATATTTCAAAATTTACAGAAACAATATTCAACTTTACTAAAATTTTTGACTCTTCAAGAAACAACATTATTACAAGTCCCTATTCAAAAAAACACCTTTTCGCTTCAGTAATTAATATCGTATATATAAGTTATTTTGGGTTCGTGAAAGAAATACCTCCTAAATAGAGAAAATACTATTCGTCTCGAATGTGTGCATGCACATCCAAGACACGTCTACTTAAAAATTCAATTTTACGGACTTCTTTTATTTGTCTCCAGGTTTTTTGAAACCGGCCCTAGTGAAAATTGGCGAACTTTTCCTTTTGCAGGTTCTCATTCCATTTCGAATTTGATCTGATCCTGTCTCATTCTCTTCATTTCTGGCTCTTGCAGATTCTCCATACTTTCACCAACACTCGAAGGACTGTCCATGCTTTGTTCGTCTAAGTGCCTCTTCAAACGTACTACTTCAGAATATGTTGCTGTTGTACTGGTGGCGCCATCTCTTGCCTGGGCTAACTACTCATCACCAATTCCCAATATATCAAGCAATAAAGTTCACCACAAGGATTATTTTTTATAGGTAGAGTATTATATGAAAAATATGTAGTAATCCCATCGTTGTTTCCCAAATGATGACCCAACATTTGAAAATTTGTGATCTGTATACTTTTGTTTTACAGAAATGAGTGTTCTTACCTGTAAGGTGAATAATTTGCTGTTTGAACAATGACTGGTTGTGGAGAAAATGCACCGGGTGATAAGGATCTTTCTTCCATAGTAGGAATTATATATTTTTCTGAAAATGTATTAAAAATCGTGAGATAGTGAAAAAAAAATAATTAATATGTACATTAGCATTTTCAGACGTCACAATACAGACTAAACAAATTCTGTGTCATGCTTTTATTGTAACGTGAATCCTACTTTCTAGACCTATGCTTATTATCAATTTCCTCATTGCAAACTAAATTCAATAAAGGGGAAAAATTCAAATCTATCTGATCATCGGACAATAATCCCGAATTTTCAAAATCTCAAATTGATTTCTAAGCATTCCAAAAAATTGAGATTAAACTTGAGCCAAAAGATGATTCGCAAATGTTGAATTGGTCTTTAGATTCAAAAACACTACCTGGATGTTCTTTCATTCATTTGGAGATGGTTCTTCCAGTTTGGCCAAAATGAAATTTAGGATAAGAACCACAAGTCAACATATACACTCCCGAGCTATTAGGCGTTGGAGTTTTATTGATATTGTTTTTAATAAATTTACCCAAAATTTTATTTGTTCTGTATGCTACGTCTAAAACAAATACAAAAAAATCTTTGAATTTTTATATAATCTAAATGGAAATGCTTTATTGCGAGCTACTTCCACGAAAATCTGAGGGTTGTCTTCGATTCTGAACTGAGTTTTCATCGGCACATTGATCTTAAACTTTACCAACATCGTTGCCTTGAAAACTTTATATTTTTTCATATGTTAGATCAAAGTATAAATAGTGTTCTATTACATAGAGTCCAACTATGCTTCATACATCAGGTCAAAGTTTGAATATTGTTCTACTACATTGAGTCCCACTATGCTTCACACTTTATCAGAATCGAAAACATGCAGAAAAAGTTCCTTGAATATTTGACTTTTAAAGTCGACGATATCTATCCACAGCTGGGTATAGTCGAAGTAAACGATATTGTGCATACTTAAATGTTGGCACTCTCAAAGGCCAAAAAAACCAATACATAAAAATGAACCGGCTACGAAGTAGTCCACGTGGACCGTAAAATTGGCGGTTCATATTGGATAATTTTTACTAACCGAGTTTTATGATTGGCTGAAGAGTCATAAAATTAAATTTGAAGTCATGTTACGGTGACGAAAGTCCCCCTTTAATTAGAAATCGACGTGTCCGAGCTTTTTTTAAAAATCTTACTTTTTATATTCAAAAACGGCTCTGTTAAGTTTTCATTGTTACACACTGTATAATAATTTTAATAGAATTTGTAACCCTTGTGATTATTATATAATATTTTACTTGTTTTTCTTCCACTGTACTTCTAATAGTAGTATTCTTTTTCATTTCCTTCAACTTTTGTCATTCTAATATTGTTCTGTGAGGACATTGTACAATTTGTTGGGCAATAAATGTCATCAATATGTAACTGCATTGAATATTTCCCGAAAAAAATTTGAAATCGAGAACAGTATCACATTCTACAGCTTCCATTAATTCCCCTGTAAACATAAATATTAAAAAGACGTTTCTTACCTTCCCTATATTCTTGTCCGTTAGAGCTGGAACTTTGTTCCATACTCTCCAGTGGAGGTGGTAGAAGAAGTCTAGCCTTTGTCGCTCCCACTAAAGCAGACATTTGCTGATGGCCGATCATGCCACCTGATCCGGGATATGCGGAAGCTTGACTTCCCGGACTTCCTGGAGCTGACTGGCTGATATCCACCATGTGCTCCATAATCGGGGAGCCTTCTCTAGAGAGAGACTCGGGCGTCATCATATCATTCATGTTGACGTGGGAAGGCGACGCTGGAGCACTTCTGAAATGAAAGAATCTTAGTAATAATAATATTCGTTTGCACACTGAACAAAACATTGACGTAATACAGTTTGCATATCGCAAAAAGGTGCAGAAATAATAATAATAATAATAATATCTTTATTTGCCTTGAGAAACACAAGGTTTATAGACATGTCAAAACAAATGGCGCAATTAAAATCAGGCTATATACATCTTAAGATTCCACAATCAATGGTGGTCATGAATTGAGAAAAAAATACGAAGACATACTTTTTTACATTACATGATTGAATTTGAGAATTAGATGGTACAAACATTTGATTCAAATTACAATACACATACATATTAGTCAACTGGGAACACACCTATTATTTAGGTGTCCACATTGAAGGCATCTCTATTCAATTGGACACTTCCATAAAATTCATTGATATCATACAGAGGATTTTCAGTTAAGAAAAACTTCAGAAAGTACTTAAATCTATTGAATGACAAATTGCGAAAGTCTAGTGGCAGAGTATTGTATAGCTTAAGGCCAATATTGTCAGTCCTTTTCAGTCTATTTGCTTGCATGACGA